AACTCACCCCAAGGGCCGATTCACTCACGCCCAGGTACTGGACTAATTGAGCGCCTTGCTGAAAGAGCGTATCAGTCAGTCACACGATGCTAATAAACGAACAACTTTTTTTCGAAAAACTTTTCGAGGCGTCACTCAAAATTATCGCTCTTTCGTGAGGCCAGAAGCACACACACACACGCACGAAGAAATCTCGAAAAACTCACCTCGTCATCAGAGTCAGACTCAAACTCGTCGCCGGCGCATTCGACGCTAGGCGATCGGGAATGTGGCGAGTTCCGCATGTTCCACTCGTAAGAAGCACTCATGACGTTCAGCGCATTGTCAGACGGATCCCAGCACCAGTCCACTTACACAAATGAGATTGTAAAACACAAGACAACGGGGGTCTTCGAACACTCGGTGAGTCACACACCAGTTTTTCTCCTGAAAAATATCTATGCTTCCGACCGTCAACCGTAATCTAAGCGATGACGTTTTCGGCTGTCTAGGTCTCTAGGAAACAAGACCCGACGCACATCCGCTCCACACTTTCTCTGAAACAAAATTTTTAACTACTGCATGAGAGATAAAGAAGCCCTTTGAGAAACTCGTGCTGAGATAAGCAGCGAGTATCTTTTCTTTTCAGCTACATAATGATTAACACCATCAACGAAGAGAGGACCCGGCAAAGGAAAGAACACAAAGCAAGCTTCATCCTCTTCCGTTTGAGACAACAGTGCAATCTATTCACAGCGGAAGACACAGTTCCACCACTGATTCAACACACGCTTCCGCGCATTAATCATGGCCGAATTGACTCCGTTGAAATATCACTCAAATTTGAGCGCAGTAATCAAAAAAAATTTACTTGAGATAAACATTCAGGTGCACAAATCAGAAGGGAAACTTGACGTGAAATTTCCGCAGGACGCGTTCTGGATTTCACAGTGGTGCCTGATTTCCGGAGACTCAAACACAGGTCTCTTTGCACAGCGTGTGCTACGCGAAGGCACCGTTGCATGACTGAGCTATCGGGCAGGGCCGAGGTGGCGCCTAGACGGACACCTAAGTCGCGAGCGGGTACAGAGCTTTTAGACGGTGCTTGGAGACTTCTAGTCAATTGTTTTTAATACTTCAAACATAGCACACCTGCTCCGAAATCCGGAGAGGTATTCTCCGAACAGCCAATATAATGGGGAAAATTCTACGGTTCCTCAAAAAATTCCAAATTTTCGCACCAATTCAAAAATCTTTCCATTCAAGCGGGTGCGAAAAATTGCATTGTCGAAATTTTATTTATATACAACAAATCCAAGCAGTTTTGGCATGCACATGCGTTGAAACATAAAATGCATTTCATCTTTCAAGTTTACATAAAAAGTCCAGAATGGTTGTTTTTTAGGGGTAACACTGGGGGACCTGAACAATGAACCATTTCATAATTTTTAAACTCCATAGCACATATAATCCAACCATGTGCATTACAAATTATTACTGTTTATCTTCTGGAAATTTTGGAGGAGGCTTCATTAATTCAAAATACAGTCATTGGGGAAATTTTGTAGCCAAGAGGTGGAATGGAAAAACTGCCATGCCTTGAAAGTAGCATGATTCAGAATGATCAAGTTTATGCATTAAATGGATTAACAAGTTAACCTAAGCTTAATTTGTTGCATTTTTCGATTCAACGTGACTGATTAACATTTACAGGATGATTTTAAGCAACTTGGACGAAAGGGAGAAGGGCATATGTGAAATCTTTGCGAAAATAACAACTCTGCGAATATTTTAAACAATACTCCTCAATCTAAGTGGTGCAGATGCTTCGACTGCTTTGGACGCTTTGTCGAGAGATACATTTTCTTGACGAAGTTGCAGACCTATCAGCAGCAGCAACTCAAACTTCTAGAAAAAATAACGTCCTTTTGTTCTCAAGATTATAGAATCGAGTGCTGGGACAACTGGGGTATGAGTCAGACTCACAGAACTATTTGATAAAAAAAAACTAAACCAAACTTGGAGGTACTTTGGACGCAGAGATACGAGAAAAATAAAAGAGACGGCACCAAAAAAGTGTCAGACGTTCTCGGATTGCACACACGCCCATTATTAAAATTCTGAATCAGCTGAAATTACATTCATCCATTGAGTGTGACACAACTTCGATTTACATAAAAGCTCGTTCCAAAAACCAAGGGTAAGATCAAGATTCAATTAAAATTTTATGAACCGGATATTTCCTTACGAAGTGCCTGAGAGCCCAGCTGAGGAACCAAGTTTCGCGGCATGGAAGCGCGCTGGGAAGCCGCAGTGCCGCAGCTGGCTCCCCGCGGGCAACGCGAGTGCATGCCGGAAACATTAGAATGAGCAAGTCCGTCCCAATCCATCCCACCCCGATTCCATGGGAGCAACCAAAGCATCCTGAGCCAAACCAAACTCCTCAAATTCGCCACTGATGCTGTATTATCATTGAAGAATTTTGAACTGCCATTCACTCTTCACGGATTTTCCTACGATGATTGACCCAGCAATACAAGATCTGTTCAATTGCAAACTGTACATAATGATGTATTCTGATAAGAGTATAAAGCATAGTTTTCTGTACTCTTAATTTGCATAGGCATGTATTGCCAGGGTGTTACAATACTGCACATACAAATTTAATTCTAGGAGATATTAACACAAGTAGAAACCTCGGGGGATTCAGCATGCATATCTGATCATACTTTATTTTTTACTTTCAGGAATGTCGGTCTCTTCTTGGGGCTATAGAGTTGAAGTTATGAGCTAGGACTACCCTATGCTTTTCACTTGCTCACTTTCCACATTCAGAGCAAGTCACTGCTGGTGCCTTAAGAATCCCTCTCACTCTCCAAGGTAATCTATTCTATACCTCAGGGCATGGGCCGCACATTTCCTCCGAATGTACCCTAATTTTCTTAAACCCATTTCTACGCACCTCTTATAGTAGCTTGAAAGGTTCAATGCAGTAGTCAGTACTGTACTGTACTCCGTAAGGCTAACCAAACCCACCGGGATGCGTTGGCTTACCCATCCACCCTAACGGTGCCGTAGCACAGTACAGTACACTCGTCATGTGGGGAGGGAATATTGTGAGGGGGAGGGCGCGCAATCCCTCGCCCGCCATCTCCCTGCCATAAAGGCCACTAGCTCCACAACCTTCGCACACAATATTTCCACTGAAATTCTCTCAATTGTAACACGCCCCGCCTGACTGCGCCTAGCACGCGCGATCGTCTCCGGCCTTCTGTGTGTGGGGGAAGCCCAGCACAGAGTCAGCGAGAGGAAACCAAGAGGAAGACGCGTTTTTCGCGGAAATCCAGAGGATGGCTTCCCCCTCCCCCCATGTGTCACTGGGGTGCGCGCGGTGCGGATGCGAGAGGTGGGGGGACATCCTGCGGGCGCCTGGTTCGCCAGCGTCGACGAGCGAGTTCCCTCCGCGACCGTCTGGCGCCGGGCTGTTGTGCTGTGCTATGGCATGGAGAAGCAAGCTTGCTTATTGTGTGTCGTTCTTACAGTATAAGGGTGAGGACTAAGGGAAAAAATGAACGATCCACCTCCCGTCGCCACACTGCGAGCGCGCACGCAAGTCCACCCCCGCAGCGACGCAAACCGAGATCGCTTATCTCATCCTGAGGTCATTTCTCTGCACCCCTTTTTCCTCTGCCCGGGAAAATACACACTAGTAAATACCGCATGTGTGTGTTTTCCGGAGAGCCACACAGGGTTCATGGAATGCCTTTTGCTAAAAAATTTTGGTGACTTGCGTAATATGATATACATATATGTCTCTGTGCAAACTCTACAAATGGCTTCCTGTCTGCATCACTTTCCAGCATCAGGGGTTCCCAGCCCCTCCATCAGAAACAATGAATATACTGAGATGAAAATAGATCTGGTTAAACAAAAAAATCTCTTTACAAAAATCCATCATTGGGACCATCAGATGTAAAGAAAGGCATTTAAGATTGTGGCTGGTGGGCATACGAGGACATATAAAAATGACTTACTTAAACAAATATTTGTTATAACAAGATGTGTTTTAATGAGATTCTACTGTAATCATAAGATGCTTGGCAGCCACAAAAGTACGGTATAGGCGAAGTATATTTGTCACTTACCGTATATCTGTGACAAGCAACTTATGTTTCTGACAAATTTGTTTATCACAAAAAGAAATCTACTATAGGGTAAAATATTTCTGAATCTCATCAATTTATTTTATTGTCTTTAAATCACATAAGAATAAAAATACAGCACTTTTTTGGGTATACTGTACATACCCTCATAAACGATTATATCTGCGTTTGTTAGCTTGAAGTCAATCTGCATGGATTGCAAGAGCTTAATGCACATATACTGCTTGGTTTGAAGTCCCAAGTGAAATAACTTACAATGAAAATGCAACATTTTTTGACATTGAAACGTGTCACTTCACTGCACAAAACTTCAGGATGCAATTTTATGATAGTTTACGAACTCGAAGATTCAGCTCATGGTGTACATAGCGTTATCTACAAAGTAACTTCCCACTTCAAAAAGGAAGGGCAACTTTCCCACCTCGAGGACCAGAATTGCTTGCCAAGGTGGATCGATCACCGGTTCAGCTAGAAGTCCACCGCTCTTGGGTGAGTTCAAAAACAGTAGCAAACTTTTACTTCTTGCGAAAATGTTTCAAGAGTTATGAAATAACGATATCCCCCTCGATTTATTCAGTCCAATTGACACTAATGAACAATTATAAGTGGTTATGTTTGACTTCGCCGGCTTGCGGTTAGGTAGTGCTCTGAATGTAGAATTCAGATTTTCACCTCATTCACGAACACGTGTGGTCGTCTGATTTCCTCATCAGCGTTCGCGTTGAGTCAAGCTTGGACTTCGGTAGCTCTGCGTGACGCGGATTGAGACTGAGTGAATTCTTCAAATTTACGTGCCAAAATTGTCTAGATTTGTGGCTGCACGTTTTGTGGCGTGACTTTCCGCTATTATGCAATTGACCGTTGCTTTCTCTTCTTGGGGTCACTAGGACTGCGGCTTTGTAAAATGCCGAACATTATCTCCTTCATCCTGTGCTTCTTATGCCTTCTGTCACTCGGTTTCGTGAATGGGCTCATGTTCCACCTTGGACCCAATATGAAGAAATGTCTAACGGAGGAAATTCATAAGGATGTTCTCGTCATGGGCGAGTACGAGATCTCAGAAGCGCCTGGTCAAAAAACGGACCTGGTCGTAACGGATTCTAAGGCACAAATCTTGGTTAACCGTGAGGATACTCACAGTGGAAAATTCGTGTTCACGACTGATGACTACGACGTGTTTGAAGTTTGTTTCGTGTCTCACGTTCCTCATCCACAAGCTTCTCATGGTCGTCTTCATGAGGTTTCTTTGAAAATGAAGCACGGAGTGGAAGCCAAAAGTTATGAAGGTGAAACAAAATATTCAAGTAGATATAGACGTATGCAGTGAAATGATCGATGTTTTTATGTAGGTCTCGCTGAGACTTCTAAGTTGAAACCTTTGGAAGTGGAGTTGAAACGCCTGGAAGACCTCAGCGAAGCGATTGTTCAAGATTTTGCGTACATGCGCAAACGTGAAGAGGAAATGCGCGACACTAACGAATCAACTAATTCCCGTGTGCTCTATTTCAGCGTTTTCTCCATGTTGTGCCTTCTGGGGCTGGCCTCTTGGCAGGTGCTCTACTTACGACGATATTTCAAGTCGAAAAAACTCATCGAATAATAGGTTTTTTCCGTTCCTGATTATGCTATTGTTTTATTTTGGTGGAACAATTCTTGGTGGAATGAAGTCATGTTGGGTGGTGTTTTTGTTCTTCATTGTTCGAGATTTTTGAATATTACATTCCTTCCATTTTGAGATAATCCATCTTTCCCAAAATCCAGTTCCAGATTGATTTCGCATTATGCCGACGATATCTGTGAAGCGCGATGCCTTAATGCGTGCCCTGGAATGTGATTACAGTGAGTGTGGATAAATTCGCATCTTATTTCAGAATGTCTTTCGCATGTTCCTTTGTCTCAATTTTCAGGCGAGAAAGAATTCGAAGAGCTGTGTTTTCAGTTCGGAATCGAAATCGATGAAGTCGTCACCAATGAGTCTGCTTCTGGCGACTCCTCTGAAGTTGAATACAAGATCGAAGTATCAGCGAACAGATACGATCTTCTCAGTTTTGAAGGCCTTGTTGCTGCGTTGCGGACTTTCCTGAGCAAGTAATGAACGATTTTTATCTACTAGTGTCAGGTTAGAGTAAGATGTGTGAGATGTGATTGCTGAACTGTAAGATGGTCCATGAATTTCATGCTGAGGACTTCAACGTTTTTGTCCGGTAGGACTTGCGCGTTGATTCATGAAAATATTTTTTTCCAGATCAGGAATCCCGGAGTACGTTAAAACGGAGCCAGCTCAGATGATCGAAACCCGAGTGAAAACCAGTGTCGGAGAAGTTCGGCCTTTCGTTGTCACGGCCGTAGTCCGAGGGGTTACATTGACCGAAGATTCTTACAACAGCATCATTGACTTACAAGAAAAGCTGCATCACAACCTGTGTCGAAAACGAGCCTTGGTCGCCATTGGAATCCATGACTTGGATACCATCCAAGCGCCGTTTGTGTACGAAGCTAAGCATCCTGAGGAAATCAAGTTCAAGCCCTTGAATCAGGTCTTAGTTAATTTCATTTCATATTACTGGTGCCGTTTACGACAAGGTTTTCAGTCATCTGGCCTAGTTCCCTTCGTATGAAGGCTATTTCAAATGTGCCAGCCCCCGAGAAATGAATTACATGACGTCTGCTTCAATCCTCAGATCCTCTTAAGTCTAAACCACTGAAGAATACGTAAAAATATCCCGGGCAAATTTTTGCTGAATTGCAGGCCCTACTTTCGAAACTATGTTCAGGAGATTTCAAAGTAGTACAGGTAAACTTCAAGGAACCAGCAAAAACATTGAGTTCGTGAGGTTTCGAGTTAGGGAAACAAGCATTTGTGTTGGAGGAAAGGAAGAAGAATTAAAGATAATCGTAATTGGTAATATTCTGCGCCTTAAATTGATTTTTAAATGAGTTGACAAGATGCTGAACGTGAAGACAAGGATTTATTTGTCCTATCAGTCTTTAAAAAAACACATCAAGTTACATTTTCATTGCTTGCCTCTTTCCTTTTGTCAATCAAGAAATAGCCAGGATGCCTCCAAAAAACTCGAGTTAGGGAGGTTTTCAACGCATTGTTTTTAAGGGAATTGAGACAGGGACTTGAAAGCAATTTGACCTAGTGAGGTTTGAGCTATTGAGGTTCAAATGTTCATTTTCTGTAGAAGTTACATCCGTCTTAACATGTCAGATGTAAAGTTTTATTAGAAGCTCTGCTGAAGTGTCGTCAGATTAATGAGAAAGATAAGGGTGAAATGAGAAACTTGTTTTTCCTCGACAGACCCGTGAATATACTGCAGCCGAGCTGATGGAACTGTATGCTACCGATTCCCACTTGAAGCCCTACTTGCCGATTATCAAAGATAAGCCGAAGTACCCGGTGATCACGGACTCTCGTGGGACCGTCCTTTCTTTGCCACCCATAATCAACGGAGATGCTTCGAAACTGACACTGAAAACCAAAGATTTTTTCATCGAATGCACAGCAACGCTACTTTCGAGAGCAGTGATAGTTCTGGACACGATCGTCACCATGTTGTCGACTCATGCCGACCCGAAGTTCCACGTGGAAAGCACGAAAGTCATGTAAGGTTGCGAGGTGGCGGTCTATCTTGTCATCCATCACATTTGCGAACGTGTCAGTGTGTTCGATTTACTGTAAATACCATTCATCATAACTGTACAGCACTGTAATTCGTTTTCGCTTTCGGTCCGATTTTTTACATTAGTTCCGTATAATAAAGTATCAAAAAAGATTGAACCTGATATGCTTTCAAGTCGCAAATGCTGCTTAAGATGTATTTTTAAAAAAATGAAAATTTCAACCCTAATGAGGAAAAGTTCGAGTTTGGCAAAGTGCGTTCAACGTTTGTCGAATGCTTTGATGCATGAATCAAGTGCGCTGAGTAAATTTCGACACTAATTTAAAAAAAAAAAAAAAACGTGCCACTGCTCTGACCGAGTTCCAAAAATTGGCCCGAGAAATATCCGTTAACAAATATTCTCCGAATGACCTCTGTGTAAGTTGAAGAGGAAATCGATCAGATTGATATTTCAGTACTTCAGAATTCAGATCCCTATTTTCTGCGTTGAGTTGGAGTATGTCAAAAATCAAATGGCGTATTCCTGCGTTCGCAATGAGTAGATGACAGACTAGTTTGGTACAAAGTCCAATGAATCCGCATTTAGCAAAAATTTTTGATTCATTGTATATTTTCTGTCTTTTTTTTGCAGATACGAAGAAGATGGGCGAAGCATTGTGTACCCGAGTTTAGCGTATCGCACTGAGATAATAGACTTGAAGGAAGCCTGCGAAGTCGTTGGCTTACCGCTGTTCCAAAAAATCGAAGCAAAGCTGTCCTTCGAACGTATGGGTTTTCGGTGCAATTACAAGCCCGTGGTGGGAACGGAAGTGGAAGTTGTTGTCCCACCTACTCGACACGACATCATTCATGCCTACGATCTGTATGAAGAACTGGCCGTTTCTTACGGCTATGACAACATTGAGCAAACTATGCCTAAGGAGTACGTGATAGCTGAGCAGTTCAACCTGAACGTCTTGACTGATAAATTGCGGGATCAGGTGGCCCAAGCAGGGTTTACTGAAGCTGCCACTTTCACCCTGGTCAGTGTCTTTGATTGGAAGTCTCCTAGCAAAACCTATTTTCTCGAAACTAAGACGCCATCGTCTACAGTTTTTTTTTTTGCTTGCTTATTCTCATGACATACAACCACTTGATATTTTTATAATGTCTGGTCGATCTTTTAGTGTTCTCTGGAAGATTTGGCTAGCAAGGTGCGATTGGAAGACAATCAAGTGGATCCTGTGACGATAGCTAATCCGAAAACCCAAGACTTTCAAGTTTGCCGGACTTCCCTAATGCCGGGGCTTCTGCGAACACTGGCTGCCAATAAGAAAATGCCGATTCCACTCAGGATCTTCGAGATAGCCGACGTGATTTTGAAGGATAGTTCGATCGGTGAGGCTCAGCTTAATATAAATTCTTTTGTGATTATCAAAGTGTGTACTCTATGGCCATACTCTTGTAGATGTCGGCGCGAGGAATGAACGACGTTTGTGCGCTCTCCATTGTGGCAAGACCCCTGGTTTCGAGGTTGTACACGGGCTGCTGGACCGTGTGATGCAAGTGCTTAGCATTCCATGGACCAAAGATCCAAAGGGATACTTTCTTCAGCCTCTTTCACGTGAGTTTGCGAACTTGGCGTTTTGATTTGTGAATTTTCCTGTTTTCTAATCTTTTATCGTCCTTCGAGATGGACAGCTTTTTTATTTTTGATGAATCGAATGACGGGGCTTGATGAAGCCTCAACTTTTGCAGGAAATCTGAAGAAAAATGAAAAATCCTCTTATTTCGTAGATCCGACTTTCTTGGAAGGACACTGCGCAGAAATCATTGCAAAAGGGAAATCTGTTGGACGTGTCGGCGTTTTGCATCCCGAAGTCATTCTGAAATTTGATCTGTCTTTGCCCTGCGCAGTCGTTGAAATCAACATTGAACCTTTCCTTTGATTTTAATATCTGCGACCGGAAATTAAACGTCGTTAGTGTGCACGAAGCTCCGTCGATGACTTTGGATACGTTGCGAATTTCAATGATTTTGATCTCATGTTTTAAATTGATTTTCAGGAAAGACTAATAAGAGCCGGTTCGCAAAGTGATCGCGTTCACCGAAGAGACAGTGACTGGTGTGTCCGAGACAATAATGGACGAGGAAGAATCATTTCTCGTGAGTATCCTTGGTTTTCTTTCGTTGCTCGAAGTTCACATTTGTACTGGTTTATATCAAGTTTCGTCAGCTTTTGCACGACGCATGTGTTCGCATCAGAAGTGTTACCCAAGTGGAATTTAGTGAAATAAAGCCACGAGGAACTGGATTCCATTTTTCCTACAGTACTTCAAGCAATCATTTTGCCGAACCTTCATGACCTTCACGAAAACCTCGCGACTAAAGATTTGGAAGGCGTTGAAACTGCCATTCAATTTTAAGATTTTTAAACACTACTGTCAAAATCTTATACTGTTCATGATTCTATGCCATTGGTACATGAATGAATTCATGATCGTCTTTTATTTTTTCTAGGATTTCAACTGCACGCTGAACCTGACGAGTCCGTTCGTGTTACCTTCCATGGAGTCGCAGTCCGAGCGTTCAGTCGACGTTTCCAACTGGATATCCAATATCCCGAGCGATTTGCCGCCACCGGAAGACGTGAAGACCGACTACAATGCGGAGTTTGTCGATGAAGTTGCGAATCAAGTGCAGCAGCGGTTCATGGAAACGTGGTCGCCGTCGGTCAACGCCTTTGCGGCGCCGTTGACGCCGGCGCCTAACGTCCGACGGGATCGGGTCTCGTTACTTTCCATCCCAAACGACGAAGCCAACATGCCGGGAAAATTCCGTTTCAGAGTGTCCTTTCGCGACTTGCAAGCGAAGAAGAATTTTGAGGTGGGAATTTTATTATCTTTCACATGCTTCGAAATTTACTGAAATATAAGTCTATTGACACAAGACTCCACGGAAAATTGAAATTAAGTAAAGAAAAGCAACTGTAATTGCTTGTGTTGAACTTTCTGAAGAACGCAGATTGAAGGTATACGGTTGGTTCGTTCCAGGTATGTTCGTGAACGAATTTTCCAATGTGGGAATATTTCACTGGCAGTCTTGATTGAGCGTCAGATGGAATTTCTAAAAAATTACCGTATTTACTCGATTACCACGTGCTCTTTAATTTAGGTTCGCCCCAGCTTTTTTCAGTCTGAAATTTTGATAAAATTGTATCCCTAAGTGACACGCGCGCCCCATTTTACCATGTTTTTATGAACTCACTTTCTTTTAGCGACTGCGAACTTTAAAAAATCAGAACACCCAATTCTGCATTTAGGCATGAATTCAATGAATTTTTGATTGTTCCTATAAAAAAGAAGTTATTCAGTTGACATTGGTCATAATTTTCCTATTAAAATCAATCATAATGAACACCTAATCTTCGAAAACTTTTTTCAGGAATGTATACCTGCGTATGATTCGCTCCCCTTTTTTTCATCTCAATTTTGAGAAGAAAAAAAGTTGCGCTTCGTACTTGAGTAAATGTGATGCTGTATTTTAATTTTAAAGTAGTAATGAGGTTATAACAAGAGCGAATTTCATTGTCGGTCAATGTGACTGGTAGTCAAAATTGCATCTGTAATTTTTATGGTGAATCGTTCCAAGTTGAATCTGTTCCCCTCTGTTCTAATTGTGTGCGTTAGCATAGAAAGGTTGATTTCACTCCCAGATACTGAATGTTTCCTCAGATACTGAATGTTTCCTCAAATTGATGTTCGCAGTATGATGAGTATGCGAGGAAGTTGTATGTTCCGCCGTTCAAGGATGTGAAAATGTCGTGTGATGTTACCAACGATGGAACGATGGCTAATCAAGGCAGGCTTTTCTTGAGAGTTATCCCGAAATTCGTACTCGTTGGAGACGAAGGGAAGCCTGTTGTGCGATGCCAAATGCACAGGCAACCCACGATTCCGTCTAATGTTGGTAAGGCTTCGCATATTTTCGCGTAACCGTATTCCTCTTTTTTAGATGGAAGTGAAGTTCTAATTTTTCCGACGATGACGTGCGTTTCGTGTGTTTGATTAAAATGAAATTAAAAAAAAAAATTTCGTTCTCTGGAAAAATGCAGGATGCACTGCAGAAATGTTGGACCATGTGGTTTGGTTGGGATTTTCGGGCCCGTCTGAGCGAAAGGACGTGACTTACGAGACGGATTATTTTCCTGGAGACGGGAGACTTTCAGCGAAACTCTTGCTACCTAATGGAACAAATTCGTTGGACGTGAATTCTACGGGCACTGTTCACTTTAGCATTACCTTCACCTGTTACCACTCGTGTCGGGTCAGTGGACTCAATCGCCAACGAATCGCCGTATTCTTCATGCTGGAAAACGAAAGGTTACGATTTTGCTTTTACAGTTCTGTACCTGTTTTTTTCTTTCTGGGGATGATACGTGTCCACGAAAATGCGACCCCAAGTCTTCAGGCAGTTTTCATGCATAAATTTTAATTTATAAACCGAATCCGTGGATGTACACCTTCGGTAATATCGGTAAAAATAATTTCAAATTCAGTCGATTTCTGGTCATGGGAGTCTTACTTAGACGCTAGTCTGAACCAAAATCCGAATGATTGAACCCGAGGAATAAAATCTGTCTTGGAATTTTTTCTTTCCGAAGATAAGATGCTCTGATCGTACATTTTTCGTTTGCAACGTGTACTTCTTTCTGCCATGAGGCGAAAGAAAAATCTTGATGCAATTGAAATTATTTTTCTGAACCTGTTCACGAAGTGAAAGAAATGAAATATTCGTTCTAGTCCAAATGCGGGTTTAATCATTTACGATTTCTGAAATTTTGGTGCTTGAAAAATTCAGACCAACAAATGCATGTTCATGCTATGCCTAGGAAGGATTTCTCAGAAGTCTTGCGAGTCACTCAAAATCGTCGTTACGGTTGCTGGAAGAAATATAGATATTTATTTTTGGTTCAACAAGAAATCCGCAAACGGATTCTCTTATCCTGGAAAAGAATACATGTAATGTACATGGTAAAAAAAAAAAAGTCGAAACTTCGCGCTGGGCGGCTTCGGTTGAATTATGTTTTTTTCTCAATGAACGGTATTGAATATTTGACATTTCTGATGTAAAAGTGGTGGCTGTCTGTGCAACCATTGAAGAAGGCCACTGAGAACTCATGGAGCAGTTGTAGCAAAGTCTTCGGGAGTATGCGAGCCTAAATCGGAGGATCCTCAACAGAAAACTGAGGCACGAAAACACATTTCAATGTTTTGTATATGCATTACATGGGGGTCCCTAGATGTATTTTTGATCTTCCCTTGCTTTCCAGTCTATTTTTTTCGAAATCATCAAAGAATATTTGAAAGTTGGTTCATTCATTTGTTGGTGACTTACGGGACTTCTGAGAAACCTCTTTCAAATGATCAGATACTGTATTTTGATAATAAAGTACAGTATAAGGTCATACAGTATTTTGTGTGGAACACGGTAGTGTTTTGATGTTCTTCCGCTTCCGTTTTTCTTCCTTTCTCCCGTCAGTGGGGAGTGCCTTGGACGTCAGCTGATGGAAGTGAGATCGTGTGCGAGTCCCGGAAGAGATTACAAATCTGATGTCTCAAAGCGGAATTCTGGAGCATTAACGTCAACCGGGAAACCGAAGAAGCAGAAGAATTCTAGCAGCTCATCAGGGCCGAAGTTGTCAGTCAGCACAAGTACCCAAGCACCACAGCCTGACACCGTTGCCATGGAAGTGAGTTGAGAAATGCCAATTTATTTTTCGAAGTTGACTCATGAACAAATAATTTTGTTTGTATGTTGTGAATTAGACTTGCGAAGCATTGCATTGCAGAGGTACGAATAGAAAAGGTTTTCTTAGTTTACTCAAGCTTCTGTTTGAAAAATTCTCGTTCCTTCTGAAGTCGACTCTTTTTCATTATGTCTTATTGTTTCGCCTAACTTTTTGAAAATTGTTCCAGGTCGCTTCTGCACACATTATGACGGTGATGAATGTGTTGATGGAACGGAAAGGACACAACACTTGACTCTGCCCAACAATGAACTTGACCTTGGACTATCGAAACCTGGAAGTCTGTAATTTGAAAAGCCTGATTGAGAGCTGAACGAAGTGCCTTTTGGAAAAGGGAAAAAGCTGATAGCTTTGTTTTTCGCGGATGAACTAAATGGAAGAAGTTGACCTTTGGGTGGGACAGGAATGAGGATTGATGGCGAGAGAGATTCATCATTTTGAAGAGTGGACGAAGCGCTTTATGCAGACACTCCTGAAAATTATTGCGCCTTTTTTTTTGCTTCTTTGGAAGCATCAAAGGTGTACAGCGCAAAGGAACACAAGTTTCTACCTCGTAGAAAGAAGGAGGGGTGGAAATTCGCCATTTCATTGCATTTGGAAAGTTTCAAGTTTTCTCTCACTTTTTCCTTCAGCTAGTTCGTTTAGAGACTGTCTTTATTTAATTTCTTTGAAAGGTGTATAACTTATCTGACGCCAATTCTGAGTATTTGGCGTTCCAGTTTATTTTTTCGTTGCTACGCCTGGAGAAGCGTGGATTTCCGTCTCGTGTAGGATCACTCGGGAAACTCCTCCAAACGGGTTTTTGCAGGGAAAATTGTGGTTGATATTCTTCATTTGATTATTTTTAATTTCGTTCCACTGCCAGTGTTGCGAATTTGTTTTCTTGGAGGGAAATTGGATGTATTGAAAGGAATTGTGCCATGTACATTCGGTCTGTTGTCGAATGAAATATTTCTGCGATTGTAGCGATTTCTTGAAATGCAAATCGAATTTCCCCATTGAAGACTAAGTTCCACTATATTTTCTCAAAAACAGGTCAAGATTCTGGAATTTGTGTTTATATTTTTGGGATCGAAACAACTGCTGTTAGCAAATTTCGTCGTAGATCGGCTGTACACACGAATGATTGGTCTGAAAAGTTGTGAAAGATATTAGCTTTCGAGAATGTCCGAATACATGTTGAGACACATGTCAAATGTGTAGTGTGAAAACAACATTACTAGCGTATCAGTAAGCGACTTGTTAAAAGCTCTTGTACAGGGTGGCTCAAAATAGCCCACACTTCATCATGGGTTAGATTACCTCTTCAAAATTGAATAATGACTGGCATTGCCAGAATGTAAACAAAGGCTCGTTTTTTAGAGAAAAAATCTTCTCTATGGACATATTACTACAGATAGACTTTAAAATGACCTCGTTAACAACAATTTTCCCATAAAAAATTTGTGTGTGCTACCATAGGGTTCTTCAAATGTTAGAGGCAGGGTTCTCCACAACATTTTCTTTTGGTCCCTTGAGTCTTGTTGTCAAGAGTTCACATCTGTATATTGTTAATTTGTCATCAAATTATAATGACTGTCATCATAAAGGGAAGCTTTTTTTTAGTGTATACCAATATTGAGTATTAAACCATGAATAATGAAAAAAATTTGAGGAAAAAATGACACAATTCCCTTTCAACTCCAAAACTCCATCTGATTTCCATTGACTTGATTCAGATTGTACAACTCTGCAAACAACAAATCATCTGAAGAACAAAATTATGTAAGTTTATAAATTTAGGCACTGAAATATTGTTAGGATGAGCGCATATTTTCATAAACCCAACTTTTGTGCGAGTCCAAAATTTAGAACTGATCGCATTCTTTTCGTAGGGCCTTTGCTCGCCCATGACAGTCAACAGATCAGCTGTTGCAGATGACCCGAGAGCGAAAAAGAAGAAGAAAAATATTATATCGTGAACAGGGTCAAAGCAGAGGAAGTCGTGTTGGAAAGATCCCAAGTTTCCTCTAGCACGCGGCGCATTTTAGCGCAGGTTTATTTCTGCACTGTCGTGGATTGTCAGTGTGCGAGCCGACATGGCCTCGCAAGGAATACTTCTTCCAGCTTTGGTGGTGATTTTGACATTGGTGCCCTTCAACTTTGCAAAATTGAACACATATTATGGTAAGAACTTCAATACAGAATGTCTTGAGTTGAGTTCATGCATAGACTTCCAAAATATAAACAGGGTTCGGCCTCCATTTTGACCCCCTTCTTTATTGTTGCACTGTTGTACTGCACCTTTCTTCCAAAAAATTTGGTTAACAAATTAATGGCACGTGATACTTGGGTATAACGTGTCATACTTTAATGCAGTAATGGGAAACTTTTCTCCCTACTTGAAAATTTTCCCGGAGTTCTCTTTCTCAATAATGATTCCGTGATTTGTATGAATCAAAAATATCACCATTGAATTCAGCCTTCGATAAGTAGTGAGCTCGGATTCAGATTTCTGCATAAGTTATGAATTTTGAAATCCTGATACATCAAGAATGACATTTTTTCAACATTGAAGCTTTAAAACTAAGTCGCGCACCTTATATTACAGTACTTGAAGGCATACAGTATTTGAGTAAATATGGTACAGGTACAGTATTTACATATTTTAAACCCCATGACTACTGTTTCAAATTCTGCTCACAATCATTTTATAAATTTCTTCAAAATTTGATACGCTCATGCATACTATACTCAGACAATTTTGATGATAAAAATGCATCGTATGTGGGAGTAGAAATACATTAAAAACTCACCAAATTCCTGCTTCTTATTTTCTTCCAAATGTTTGCGAATCGAATGAAGATCTTCCGGATGTGGGAGAATCTGAAAGCGAAACGCAAGTCGGACGCTTCAGACGAGAAGCTGAAGATGATGTCTTCAACCGGACTCTGAAGATCACAACATTTCCAGTAGGTCATATATCGGCTAGAAGTGAAAGAACCGAATGAGATAAACCTCGAAATTCTTGTGAATTTGCAACTATAGTTCGAACCTCTGATCATGTTGAAACCCGGGACAAATGGATCATCGAATGACGACTTCTTTGGGTACTGCAAGGACTTGCTTGAATTGCTTTCCGTTGAGCTGAACTTCGATTATACCATTCGATTGCCGTATTCTCCAGAAGGGGAGAGGAACATTTCGGAAATTCGCTGGTCGCAGATGTTTGAGCAACTCGCTGATGGTGTGAGTAAAGCTTTTCGTAGCGAAGCGGAACTGCGATATAATCTGCATGCAAAATTGCGCCAAAATTGTAAGTGACTTATATTCTAGTGAAGGCTTAGTGAATCTGAAACTCACGGTATTATTAGCATAATATCATGGTAGAACAATTTTCATAAAATTTCTCATTTGTCCATTCAGGACGCAGATTTGGCTGTGACTGCGATCACCGTTACATCAGAACGCAAGAAGCAAGTCGAATTCACAGTCCCATTCATGCATACGGGTCTTGCCATTCTTTACCTGGTAAGAGAATGAATTCAACAACATTAATCCGAATTAAATCTTTTCACGCTTTCGAATTTATCGAAGTACTGTATAAGCCGAATCTTTTCTAAATTTCGACGTAACAAAAGTAGGGTGAGCTTTAGATTCGCATGCAAAATCCTGGCTTATGATGGGTTGGTGGACCATGTGAATTCATCATCATAATTTCGGGTATCCCTTCGAAACTAATTTCGAAATGATGGGCTACACCGAACAAAACGAAAATGCAAGAGATTTTTAGAAAAAATAGGAAAACGATTTTGCTTCGGGAATTTTTGAATTGCACTTTTTCTTCTGTCACTCCAATAAAGCGAACAAGCGTAACGACTTAACGAATACCAGCATGACTTTGAATTCGGCTGAGCATGAAAAAAAATGACTCGTGTTTCCTACTGTGGTTCAGAGACCCTTTTTCACGGAACCACCCTGGTACGCTTTCGCAACCGCGCTTTCGTGGCGAGTGTGGTTGTGTCTCGCGGGAATTTACTGCCTTGCAACCCTAGTGTTCTGCGTATCCGCTCGTCTTTCACCAACGGAAAAGGCAGCCAGCATTTCTGCACACATGAATCCACGGTCGACGGGGATCGGAGCTCATTATCAACCATCCAACTTTCCGGGAACATTGACGAACACAAGATCTTCCCCGACGAGCGTCATTGGGGCGATGCGGGAGTCGCCTGTTTCCCGCTCAACCCCGACAACTGCAGTTCAGGAGGGGCCATTCTCAGTCGCCAATTGCTGCTGGTACTTGATTGCAGCTCTTCTGTTCCGAAGCACTGTCACACAGCCCCAGGTGAGGCCCACTCTTCCTGCTGAACTTTTTCCGACGAAAGCTTTCCCGCATACAGTATTCTGGTACGGTCCGCATCTCGCAGCACATGACCCACGAATTATAGAACATATCACGCGAGAGAAAAATCTTGATGACCACGAATGGTTTCCTTCGAAAGATTTCCCCAGGACCTGATGCGAAAATATGTGATTCAAATCGTATTTGGAGTCGTTGTAGGTTCTCAATTGCAATTTTTTCATACAGTATGTGATTCACTGACGACTTCTGTGCGAGGAATTCGTATGATTAAGACCACGTGCGAACAGTGAACACTCGATGTGCTCATGGTGACAATATCGGTGGGAAGAGTGAACGGATCTGGATTGGCGTGGCCATGCTCCTCATTTTTTCCGATTCAACTCATTCGCTGTCTTTTGGACACATGATTAATCTAGCTCGTCCGCTGAAACATCATTTTCCTTAGCTGCCGTCAATGCAAAAAGTTGAGGAAAAATTGTTTCCTTTCCAGTCAACATCCATGAAGTTCTTGACCGTGGTTTGGTGGTTCTTCTCTCTACTGTTGTTGCTGCTCTATGTTCATGTGCTGGCAGAAGCTTACTCTACCAGAGTGAACATTCAGCCCATAAACACTGTTGAAGACTTGGCTAAGCAAAGCGCTGTCAAATACGGAGCTCTGTCAGGTGGCGCCACTCTTGATTTCTTCAAGGTGAGGATAATTTGTAGAAGCATCATATAATACAGTACAGTACAGTATACAGCGAACAGTTGCGCTTTCTCTCTACAACACAATGTTAGGGGCATCCAGAAAAAGTAATTAGAGATAATTTTGTAGCTCAAAAACCCTATATGCCTATGACATTGGAAGATAACTCCGTGGGACCAAACAAATATTTGTTATAGAGCACAGATATATTGTTGTAAAGAGAGTCCGCCTGTATTGTATATTCCCAGCAGGGAGGATGACCCAAAGGGTGGACACAATTTTACAACCTTGGTCCTTGGAACAATTGAAATTACTATTTTATACATAGGATATCTCATTATGTGAACTCTTTTAACCATTTTTCAATTACTGTACTGTGCATTACGTGGATTGCGTGACTCATCTTCATTGCCGGAGTATTTGCTTGCGACTGTAACTATTTCATGAATTAACTTTTCAATAAATGTTCGTCCGCTGTATATTTGCATTTTCAGTTTTCATTAAATTTTAAATTTTTATTACATGAACTATTGAGTGATGTTGCACGAGAGTCCAGAACGAGCAACGCTTGCGTACATTTCAACAATGGCCTGATACAGCATTTTTCAATGGAAAACGTTTGAGAAAATCGAGTGGATTATTTTTGTGTTTTCATTCAAGAAAGCCAAGATGTCGCTCTTCAACCACATGTATGAAACCATGTCTGCCAATCCCCGAATGCTCGAACGCACTTACCGAGACGGAGTGGACCGTGTCCTGGAGGAGGACGGCAAGTACGCCTTCATCATGGAGTCAGTCGCCATCGACTATTACCTGACGCAGCACTGCGAACTTAATCAAATGGGCGCGGAAATTGCGAGGTCGACGTACGCCATCGCAGCGGCGCCTGGCTCGGACTTGGCGCCTTCCCTTTCATCGGCCATCTTGGAGTTACAGGCGGATGGTAGGATGTGGCAACTGGACGCCAAGTGGTTCTCGTATCAGAAGGAGTGCGCTGGAGACAATGAGTATGTGAGGGACGAAGGACTGCCGTACCTTGACCTGTACAACTTCGGTGAGCAATCCTGGTGAACCTTTGTACAAAAATAATACCCTATATTCACTCCAACATCAAGTCCCCTGAAGGAAGCCGCACACCCGTATTTTTCAATCAAAAGTTTTGGATGGAACACATCCCGGATTAAAAGGCACACCCCACTTTTTCAGACTTCAAATCGAACTATTTTGAAAATAGAATGCATCAGAATTTACACCATAATTTACATTTTGAATTACATTTTAGTCAAATTGAAACCTAATTTTTCACTTTTCCCATTTTTAAATTGCCAGTAGAAATTGGTTACAAGTTCTGTATCAGACAGTGACACTGCCTGTAGGAGGTTCACCAAAGCTTCTAAAAATTTTAAAATGTTATACCTAACTATGACGTTTATAATAGGCAGGTATAAACCCTCTTTTTACTTTATAATTTTTAAAAATTTGCATGTGGTAATGGAATAAATACTAGACAGCAGTTTCTTTTTAATTGATGCTCCCAAAGGTATTTTCCACCTTCATGGTTTAATTCAGAAAAAGGTTTGGAACCACTGTACTTTTTCTGCCTGTATAGGGGATTTTCTATTTGAATTTAAACATGTTNGTAATGGAATAAATACTAGACAGCAGTTTCTTTTTAATTGATGCTCCCAAAGGTATTTTCCACCTTCATGGTTTAATTCAGAAAAAGGTTTGGAACCACTGTACTTTTTCTGCCTGTATAGGGGATTTTCTATTTGAATTTAAACATGTTAGCTGAAACAATCCATGATTCATTTTTGCTTTTGTATTTTCACGAGTTTTCTTCAGCAATAATGTAACTGTAAACAAAGCTGGATCTCAAATTCTTCAACATCTTTGATTTCATTTTGATCAATTACAGGAGGAGCAATTTTGGTCGTCATTGTTGGACTTTTCATCGGTTTAGGGATTGCAATAGCTGAGTCTGCTGTTGCATCTGCCACCACAGCTCGATTGAAACACGTACGTATTTCATGAACACAGTATTTGCAAAAATATAAGCAATCCCCCCCCCCCCTTCAATTTTAGAAGCTCAAAAACTTTAGGGTGGTAATTGTACAGTATTAGCATTTTTAGGAACTTCGTGTACATATGCGTCTACATCAGGACGTATATTTACACAATGAATGATCTTGTTGAAAACAGAACGATTTTGCAAAAATATTCTGTTCGCATCCGCCAGGTATCGATACGCAACCAAGTGATCCAAGACATCCGAGATTCCGTCCGCCGGAAACCGGTGCCACCTTCGTCGCTTCCGTTTCACCTTCAACCCCAGCAGGTCGACCCTCTATCCGCTGCTCCAATGACAGGTATGGGCACAATCCCAGAGTCACAACCCCTGTCAATCGCCGTGCCTAAGTTGGAGATCGGCCCTTACGATCCTCAAAATACGCCGGATTTCGTGCTGTCATCTGCCGGGAATGGAGCAGGAATGTCGCCTTATCCGGGCGGTGTAGCTGTCCTGCCCCGCCAGGCGGCGCTGCGAACAGCAGGAGGCAGGGCACCCGCGAGAAGGAACCACCCGCAGCTGCGATGAGCGTGGTTCATGACCAACCATAAATGCCATGTTCTTCAGTGACCAAAGCGCGTTGATGAGACGAATATTTGGTCGAGTTCTCTATATTGACAACAAGAGCAATTTGATTGCTCTCAATTACCAATTACATCTATCAGACATTTCAAGAATTTCATTTTTGTGGATTAGAATGCTTGGGTGGAAATGCTGAGATTTTCAGAGGGATTGAATGGATGAGCATCATGGGTATTCTTCAGCACAGCGACGGATGAGTCAAGAATATTTACCATATTTACTCAAGTACTGTACCATAAATACACACTTTTTTTTTGAAAAATTGAGAATAAAAAAGAGGGTGCACATCATATGCAGGTAAACATTTAAAAAAGCTGAAGGTTTGGTGCACATGATCCCTATCCAAAATGAAGTTTCAACCAATGTCTGATGAAAATTCGAAAAATGGAAATGATGAAAAATTAAGATTCAATTTAAATGAAATTCAAGTTGAATTTGAATTCTGACGCATTTTAGCACATGATCCCTATCCAAAATGAAGTTTCAACCAATGTCTGATGAAAATTCGAAAAATGGAAATGATGAAAAATTAAGATTCAATTTAAATGAAATTCAAGTTGAATTTGAATTCTGACGCATTTTCTGTGAGAAGATTTCAATTTTCAGCACATCTCATGTAACGATACCAACTCGTTGAACATTTCGGACATTGATGATACTGCATGAAGCTCTTAAAGTTTCACGTTTTTGTCCCATGCGAATGACGGAATCATGGCATCCCTTCAAATTTCATGGAAGTCTACCTCTAAACTTTTTCTCCAAATCCGAATGACGATGAAAGTCCACGTCAATGTTGGTCAAATAAATCGGCGAGAAACATTACTTCTGTAAAATGCGAGAGTGAGGATATCAATTATTCAATTCATGGTGTGCCAATTAACACGAATGCAAAAAATTTGACCTGATGAAAAACAATTTACCGCAATGAAAAAAAATAATAAATCCACGTGTTTTCCCTGCGCTACATCCAAAGCAAAAATTGTCAAACAAGATCAAAATAAACCAGAAAGCAGTGTAGTTGTTTCACCAATGTCCTTTTTAATTTTAGTACCAATTTACTTTACAACCGATGTTTGCAAATGGTTAAGATACTCACTCGTCAAGACTAAGGTTGTGCTTTTGTGCTCAGCCCAAATTCGGTTCTCAAAGTTTTTTTTATTACCGAGCTGGATATTAGAAACAAATCATCCGTGGCAATTTCTGCCTGCTACCAACACGCTTGCCAAAACATAAGACGAATCGATAAAACACGGTAGCAAAATTAGAGAAAACGTATTATTGATACGTATTATGTGTAACCGGGCCCTTTAACAGTACCTTCTTTCTTCCTGTTCATGAACAACCATCAACCTAGTCTTCATCGATAATCTATTTACTCGCGTGCGATTGTTCCCTCACAAATTATCTTTCTCTCGGAAAAACGCAGTATCAAACTGAAAAATGTTTCACGAAGTCAGTTCAGATGTCTGGGCATGGAACTCAATTCAACTTAGTCTACACGCTCTGACACAAATCGAAAAACAGAGTAATGTACACAACTTCTTCGTGTCTCATTCAGTCGAACTCAACGCAGCACACGAACCTATTTTCTTCCATAACATGAGCACCTCAAGAAAATCTTCCTTTGCATTGTAGCGTCAATTTCCTTCTGAAAAAAGCGAAATTTTAAGAGATCCCCAGAAAATCCGCGTAGTAAATAGCAATAATGGTATTCTCCAACAGTCAACGAAAACCAACTAACCGGCAGCAGTGTTCGCGACAAAAGCTTCGTTCAGGAATCAGGATCCGGAATTGGTTTTGGGCGTCGACGAATCTTCCGGCTTGTTCCATCCTATGAATAGGGTTCAGAGATACGAGACACTTAGATAGGAAATAAAATGCAATACCGACACAACTTCAGTACTGCATCTACAATATGTCCTCAACACAACATCTTACATGAGAAATTTTTTTTTCGAATCGTGCATTCATATTATCCACTTCTGTGGTTTTCCGAGCATTGACTGCATTTTCTTGATGAAGTCAGACCTCTCCAAGTTGAATTTGAAGGGTCCAACGACAAAATTTGATTTGCAGTAGTTTCGAATTAAAAAAGAAAGTTAGGGCTGGAAATGCTTGGGGCTAAAAAAAGAAATTTCTTTTGAGTTCGGGAGGTTTTCTACTTCAGGAAGGTTTGACAATATCATACACACGCCGCTTTATATAAACCCTTCCGCAAACATCTGCAGACTATTGATCAAATATAAAATTTGGATATCAAAACTTTTTAACTAAGGGCACTCAAACCACTTGTTCCACCTAAATCCCTTTTTTTATAAAAGCTACATCAGATAGAACGAATCGGATTCCAACTGCATATACTGTACGACATATTAATCAGGGGAAATAGCTGGAAATTCGAGGTTTGTGATACAAAACCAAATATTATTATCTCGACTTAACCTCTTTCTAAAAAAAAATTGCTGATTTTGACGAAGAAAGAACTCACAGTGAGTTTGATTTCAAGCATTGTAGAGAAATCGATCTCCCGATCTTCGAGTTTCCCAAACTTCAGTGGTTTCACACCCTTGAAACTATCCGCGCTGATTTCGACAGTCGCTCGGGAAAGTTTCAACAATTGACCTCGGATATGTTCCTCGATGTCGTCCGAGCCGATCATGCCATCATCATCGTGAAGTAGAGAAGCTTCGTCCGACTTGAACTCAATCCATCTGTTGTCTACCTCGAAGTACCACTTCATTCTGACCGTAGTCAACAAAAATGAAGAAAAAGAGCGAAAAATAATCACATTTAATTTCGAAATCACCATCTGCAGTGCGACTTGAATGTTGATGAACACCCAAGCTAATTTCAATTGTACCGACCTTTTATTTTCACACGGGGACAACCGGCGAAGTTCGAAGCTCGGTCCAGTCTTTTGAGTATCCAAGAACGTGAGGGTCATTGAGTTGAAATCAGCCTTCCAAACGTCACAACCCAGCAATTCGACTAATTCTTGATCAACGCAAGTTGACGTCATCCACAACATTCTAAGCGGAACATCGTTCATGTCTGGGTGGACGAAAGCAGCTTCAAGGCCCTCCCCTTGTTCGGCACTGCCAATACAGCAGGAAAAAAGATCTGAATGGATGCTTCTTCAAATATAACACATGCTGGCTGGAAAACCGACCACAGTGATGAACCAGCAATTCATCATTGAAGATGCATGCATTTTCAATGATGAATTACCCTATTTAGTTGAGTACCAGGATGCACCCTCAAGAAGAGTGGGTGCTCAAACACCTTGGTTTTAAGTTATCAAAACTCATACTCTAAGAACTATACTCGGTGTAAAAATTCAAATACAAATATACAAGCATGCTTAGAAGTGAATTCAATGTTGACGTTTTCATTCTCATGCAAGTGACAGTATCCTTGCAGAAGATGGCTTCAAAACAATTTTCAAGCAGGGAAAGAGGTTGAAAATAAAAACCGTCACTTTAACATTTGACACATTTACGCACTTACATAAGCAGATCGCATTTAGACTTCGAGCATCAATTGCAGCGAAAATTTCTAGTACTGTAAGGCATCTTTATACAGGCGAACTTATTTTCTGAACTCAAACCTAATGAAGTAAGAAGCCTCTTTCAACTCGAATTATTTTTTAGTTATCACGTTAACTTGGTCCCCATTTTCTTTGCAAAATCGGGTCAAAAATATGCGGAGATAATCAACAAGGACTGTTCAAGAATTGCATAAAATGGTAGGAGCGATTGCTCACCAAAGATTGATCCAAACGCCTTTCGGAGAAAGAATCTGCCATTGAATTCGCTTCGGTTCGACGGGCTCAGGTGCCAAATCGTCATTTGTTATGCGATCATCACCAGCAGACGCATCACTCAAATTCTCTGTTTCCGGGGGAATGCTACAAAGTTCCTGGAATGTGGAATTAAAGCAGTATTAGGCAACCACGTAACACGATATGCGGTCTCCTCTAATTTCACCTCATCGTCGTTGCACAGCTTTTCAGAACCAGCAGCCTGACTTCCTCCATCATCTGACGCTGGCTGAGATACAGCAGTAGATTTCTCGGATTCCGACACATGGGAGATGGACTGGGTAGTGATCACATCATCTTCTGAAACTGGAAATTAAAATATTCATCTTACATGTTTCAAATTGGGTATGTTATGTTACTTCGCTAGATTTGAAAACCGGGCTCATGGGCCAAAACGTTTCGAACTCGAAAAAAAAAAAAAATCCTGATGGAATTTTTGTTTGGAGCAGAATAGTTTTTGACTTCAGCCGATTTCCTAATCTGGGGCTTCATATACTGTATATACTGTATCCAAACGCCCAGATCAAACTAAAACGTCTCAGAATACATGAATACACATGTTTGGCATTGCCCCCGTTCCGGTAATCCAACTTGCAGTAGTGCAAAAGGCATGAAAACGCCATATTACTCGCCATTTTCACCGCGGTCGTTCACGACTTCGCCATGCGACTGTCTCCAACAGAAACTCACAAATTCCCTGAGCGTGGCCCAAGGAATCGTTTTGAGGTCTGAGATATTCAGCGCTTCTCTTACAACACGAGAATTACGTTTTGACAAAACGTCGTGCTCGAATCCGCAATTGAACTTCTCGCATAAGTCTTGCACAGCAGTTCGACTACACAAGTGCAACCCCCGACAAAACTTTTTCTGGCAGCCTACCGGGAAGAGGTCATGAGAATCTGTTTTCGTCGATTGCAAAAATTACTGCACTTACCGTTCTTCCCGAGGTAATGAGAGCAAAATTTTAGAACAGGATTCAATTGAATGAGAGCCTGCTTGTGGCCAATCCGGTTCCCATCCCGATTACTGGTCTTGGGCCCAAGATTCAAGCGGAGAACTTGAGGATAATTTACCATTAGCTCATTGAAATTAACGGGATCCACGCATGCTTCTCTGAATAGCATTCGCGGTTTCATGGATCCGTTTTCATTGGACAGCAATGCGTCTAAAATGCTGTACAGCGACCAGTCAATGAGACATTTTGCATTTCCCGAAGTCTTCGAAGTTTTGTGAGTCACCTGGAAGACAAATAAATTAGCTCTCCTCTCAAATAATCAACATGACGATACATAATCTCAGGAGAGAGCGTAAAAGTTGGTGAGCCTTCTTAATCAGCATTGAACTTTCAAATTCCATGAAGAACTCCTGATTTTGGACATATAGTACAATCCGGATGTCTCAAATAATAAACCTTTGATAGAAGAACAGAACTCACTGAGTCGGTATCCGGGGCACATCGATCAGCATGCGGCGTAGAATAGCTGACGGTTCTTTTTAGATTTTGAGGATCACTAGAAACATTCCACTCATTAATTCCTAAAAGGAGAAAGTATTCTCAAATAACTTGAACAGGTGATGAATAGCAGAGTTGGAAACTATCAATACCGTATCTGCGAGAGCCGATCATCTGATCCTCATTCGCATCAGCACAGTGTTCGTTCCAGTTCGGGTACCAGTTAGTAAAAGCTAAAACGCAAGAATTATATAGATATTTTTTAAATTCACCCGAAATCAGACTTAATTTCACTCTTGGAAATAAAACGACCAGGAAAACGTTACCTCGGTACATGTGATCGGGTACCAGTTAGTAAAAGCTAAAACGCAAGAATTATATAGATATTTTTTAAATTCACCCGAAATCAGACTTAATTTCACTCTTGGAAATAAAACGACCAGGAAAACGTTACCTCGGTACATGTGAGGCCTGTGATTGTAGGGGTAGGCATTGTTTGTGTTGTAGTCATCCAACCATTCAGAGCTTCGCGGAGTACCTGTAATTTCGAGAAGCACCAGGTATTTTCTCCGCAGAAATTACGGAGCGCGTCTTCCGCAAAAATTCAGCACCGTTACCCACTTTGAAAGTTGTTCCAGTATGGCACGTTGCTGGGGCCGTTGATGAATCCGTCGTGCCAAGGCGGGAAGTTCTTGGGATACGATCTGGAGTCCGTAAATTTACGCCCGCTTTTGACTTTTCCCTCGTTTGGTTTCACGCCTGGGGTTAAATAAATAGTGTCTCGCAGCAAAATAATCATGAAAGAATGCTGTTTTCATGACTACCAACCTTGCTGAGCATCCTCTTTGGTCGAAAGACTCATTCTTAAAAAACGAGGTTGATGCGCGGCGCACCTTTCAATTCGTTCAACCACTACTGTACTTAGACTTGATGTCCAAAAAAGCGCCGCACGCCAAACACAGAGGTGGCAATGGGAAGTTCGATTCGTGTTCCGTAGATCCACACGGTATCCCGACAGAAGTAATGGATTCACGAGAAGAACGTGAAACTCCGCAAATATTCACGAGAACCGAGACTAGCTTTCCGTTCAAGAACTGTTTTCGCTTCGACTTCCTCGGTAGAAAATTCGCCAGGTTCAGGAAGAGACAACATCCGTCAGGTTCAACGATAGAGAATGGCAATCTTCCTGGTTTCCTAAAAAAAACATTTACATCAACCGCGGAAGAATCAACACACGAATGATGAACTCTCGAAACAGGGTCGATACGTCAACTTTGGCGCAGTTCCGAGAACAAATACGGTAGAAACACGAGTCCGTCCAATGAAAACGTGAGGAATTTGAACGTTACTGGGAGAATTCACACATTTAGAATCGCCAAGCTTCTCGAAAAAAAATATTGCATAAAAGAAACACAGATTCACAGCTTGCATCATGTGATCAATCTCAACTTCGGGGAAACCGTGACGCCCTATGTGCCTCGCAGCGAACCTTCCGCAAATCCACGACAACCAATAAAGCCGAAGCAGCGACAGTCTGATTCAGCGCCTGTGCGGAAAACATCGGAGAAGCCATTTCCCCCCTGCCAATCGGCGAGCAGGGTTGCCAACACCGAAAGCCAGTAAGTATTCTCGATACCTCGAGGACTCGGTCAAATTCATGCTTCAATCGGAAGACCGCACGCTTTCTTTGGCGATCAAAAGTCGCAAAACAAATCATGAAAACATTTAAAAAAAATTCAGGTACCCGAATGAGAGAAAAAAAACATGCGGTTGACGTACAGTAGTCGGATGTATAAGAACTCAATGATGGCGTCGAAGGAAATCATTTCAGTACAACGCGTTCGAATCTTTGTGTTTGGAAAGCAATCAAGAGATCTTAATTTCAACTCTGATTGTCCCCTGGCATAGCTGGCAAAATCATGAGTCTTCTACAATGTGACAATAACATACATGCAACTCATCTTTTGAGTACCATGTCAGGAAATGCGACAGCGAACCAACCCTCGCGATTATCCACAGCAAACACACATTGCTGGAACGTCACTTCTCCGACGCAAGTTTTCAACGCATCGAAGGTGGATTTTTTTCACTTCGGTTGAAATTAAATTCTACCAGGTTCAACATTTCCTTATACCAGAATAGACGCGTGAAAATGGCATTTGTCTTAAATAAACAGTAAAACCTCTGAATCTTCACCCACATGCAAATGTAAACTATACCCAACAGGAGCTAACTGCGTAATTTCGACAAGCTCGTATACAGCGAACGTTGTCGGTGTAATTTGTTTATTTTCTTCAGGGAAGTCGTTACCGTTGAGTTCATAGTTCCCCCGCTTGTACGTCTATACGGCAATAAAACTTACTTCGGGGCTCAGGACATGAACGACTCACGGAGTGAACTTATTGACACTGATGTTTATAACGTGTGTACGGTCGTTCTTGTTCGTATTCCATTCCAAATTATCATGGAAAAGAAAACCCTTGAAATGCATGGCATATTCTGGGGCTGAAGAAGTTCTCGATGTAAGTACAGCAGTATCACTACACCAGCGATTCACATTTAAAAATGGCCACGCATTCATCGTATGAGTAATTTCTGCATGAAGCGCAACTGAACATGGAATCATAGATGGCTGAAGTTAAAAATACTGTCATTATAAAAGCCAACCCTGTCCGACTATGTACCACATTGGGACCCCTGCTTGGGAAGTACAGCAGTACTAATGCACTAAACAGAAAGCGCCTCTTAAGAAATACGATGTTGATTCATCCTTTCGAATTGAATGAACAGGATCAGTTCATTATCTTTCATCCTTCAAAAGATGGCCGGACATGGTGTTATCTCGCAAAAAATGGCCGTTTGCCACGGAGTTTCAAGCTCGCGCTCATTCGGTTTGTTAACGATGCTGCACTTCTCTGAATTACAGCGTATCCGTCGTTGGATAAATTTACAAGTCAGGAATCAAATGTTCCGTAATCCGCCCTGAAACAAGTCCGCAGGGCATTTACACTCGCAGTACACAACTTACCTCCGTAATGCGCGAAGAAATAAATCAGAAAAACATCAGCATAGGCCCAGATTCTTCATACATTTTCGTCTGAAGTACAGTATAATTCTGTCAGTGGGCGGTGTACTGTATTACATAAAACTTTCTTCCTCCTTCACCATCTGCTGCAGACGGTTATCGCGGGAACATTTCGCCGGGAAAAATGATCAGGACAATATGACGCAGTGAAAAGAGCACGGCAAGGTAAATTTCTCGAATTCGATGAAGTAAAACTTCCAGATGAATGCATCAAAATGCAAAATCTGTGTTCTGAATTCACAGTATATTGGGTGGAACTGAGCAAAGTGCGGTTATCTATATTAGTGTTCTGAGGCAGATGAGAAGAGGAGACAACACATCATTCAGGAAGAGATTGAAATGCTAGTTTGAGCTAAAAGATATGAAGCCATTTTAGTTCTGCGCTCTTTACCAATCCCACGTCATTTTCACCCACAACCTTTCCTCTCCTAGGAATTTCTCAGCACCGTAGGTAAGGAACACCTCGTCCCACTTGGAGGAACTTCAATTCGAAATTTTGGAACACCCCTAAGAGATCATGAATTCACAGTAGAGTCGAAGACGTATAGAGAAATCCGTCACAGATGGGAGAAGTTTCAAAATTCCTCAATTTCCGAAACTTTCGTA